TCTTTGACTCAAGGAGATTTCATTAATCTATTAGCTTTGTCAAGTATAACCTAGAAAACAACTGAGATTCTTTGTCTGTTTTCCAGTGGAAGGTCTTTCATTGCTGGTATTTTTTTTTTACTTTGATAATACATAATACATTTAATTGGAGGATATTTGGAATTGAATTTTGAGCAAAATTAAATGAGGGACAAAATTTTCCTATTAGCTTTTAGGTGCTATGGTAGATACTATGAGGGTTTGCCAGTACCCAGTTTTCTTTTCCTTTTTCTTTTTTTTTGAGATGGAGTCTCACTCTGTCGCCCAGCCTGGAGTGCAGTGGCTCTATCTCGGCTCACTGCAAGCTCCGCCTCCCAGGTTCACGCCATTCTCCTGCCTCAGCCTCCCAAGTAGCTGGGACTACAGGTGCCCGCCACCATGCCCGGCTAATTTTTTTTTGTATTTTTAGTAGAGACGGGATTTCACCACGTTAGCCAGGATGGTCTCGATCTCCTGACCTTGTGATCTGCCCGCCTCGGCCTCCCAAAGTGCTGGGATTACAGCCGTAAGCCACTGTGCCGGCCCAGGATCCAGTTTTCTATTTCTTTTGGGATATACAAAAGCTTACACTTTCTTCTCCCATTGAAATTAACTGTGCCCATGGAATTAGTTCTGGTGAATAAAATACCGGCAGAAATGATGTGTTTATCCTTCAAACCAAACAATTATGCTCCACACTTCAAATGGAAAACAGCCAATCAGTGACATTCCAGATGGTGCAGCCACTTCTACTGACCTGTGTTTGGCATTTTGCTTGAACGAGAAACAAATTTTAATGACTTTGGAGTTTGTTACCTCAGTATAATTTATAACAGTGCTTATCTGATAATGGTGGGACTCTTCAAAATGTTAGAAACAGTAACTGGACTTTTCGAGGAGTTGAAAATGAGAAAATAAAGCTAAAAGATCTTGATGTTACAAAATTAAATTTGAAATCTAACTTTTAGGTCATAGTGATGATATAAAATAATTTTCTCTAAAGCCTTAGGACAATAGTGCATAGGTAAGGTAAACACCTTGTTGAAATCACAGAATAGGAATCTAAATATTTGTCTCTTTCCAAAGTGAATTCTCTTTCTTCCATAGCGTGTTTTATGCCTTATGCCTGCTGTGCCAGAGCACACAGTCTCCGTTGGTAAGCTATGGCCTGTATCTTTTTGGGTCAGCCACATTTCAGAAATGAGAATGCACTCTAACCTTCACCTACAAACCTTTTCAGAAGTGGAGCATTTGACTTACACAGCCCAAGGCCCCTATCGTGACATTTTTGTAATTTTCAAAGAGTTTCCTTAGAGTCGCACTATTTCATACTATGCTGTAAAGCAATGGCAATGTGGTCAAAGCGTTCTAATATTAGCAACTGCCCCACATCTTTTAAACTCTCCTAACTATTCTGTGAATGTAGGTAATTACCAATATTATTCCTTTTCAGACTTTTGTTCCATATTTAGCTTGCAGATTATGATTATGAAATGTACACACTGCTGAACGGTTTCTTTATGTCTTAAATCTTTGAACAAATCTTAGAATAGAGATTCTGCAGTGCTCTGACACCTCACACAGTGCCCCACAGTCTGCCTGGCATGTGTCACACGTATTTTAGGTCGTCCTTTTGGTGGCAGAGTTTTTATCATGCAGTACATCCCACATTTATTATCAATTCTTCTCTTGCTTGCTATTAACCAAATAATAGCAAAAACAAAGAATAAAGCAATCAAATGATGACACATGTTAGTAATAGAAAATAGGCAAAATGGTAAAATCAGGTTTGGACTTTCAAAAAGTTTTTTTTTCTATATAAACTATCATTTTACAGAAAAGATGAGGAAAAGAAAAATAGGTTAGAAGAGGGATAATTTTACAGTTTGAAGTCCATTTGTATTTTTTATTCTGCCTGTCTTAGTGGGTTTTAATGCACTATCCAAAGGGTCAAAACTGTGTATAAATTAAATTATGTGTGAAGGATAAGATTTTTCTACTTAAGCTTCAACCGTGAATAAATCAGATATTTTCCTTTATGGAAAACCTAATTCTTTGGGAAAGAATAGTTAGACCTTGATATTTTATCTTGCCCTTTTTATTTAAATGTTTGACAAGATAAAAAGATGTATGTCATCTTGGAGGACTAGGGGAGGGATAGCATCAGGATAAATACCTAACGTAGATGACGGGTGGATGGGGGCAGCAAACCACCATGGCACGTGTATACCTATGTAACAAACCTACATGTTATGCACATGTACCACAGAACTTAAAGTATGATTAAAAAAAAAAAAAGAAAAGAAATCGTGAATACAGGATCATACTGGGAAGATATTTTGTTTTTCAAATGGTAATTTTGTTTTTGTTAATGGATCTACCCCTGATTCACATTGTCAAAGGAAAATAACAAACTGTGTGGATTTACAACCCTAACTTGGAAAAATTATCTATATTCCTAAAGGTGAACATATAGACATTTTTTCTCAGAAGAATCACTAACTCTAATATTTGGACTAAGATTAAGATCAGTCAGATCTTAAAATTATTAAATGCTTTTCTCAAATATGAGAGGAAAGAATTCAAATGATATTGATGGGTGGTTTTAGCTAAGAGCAGTATCTGAAGAGAAACTGTTCAATAGAGGGTTAGCATCCAGTTCTCCAACAGGGAGTTGCATTCGTTTTGTTTTGGGTTTCAGTGTTTTTTTTTGTTTGTTTTTTGCTTTTAACAGGAGGTTATTTGGGTGATCCAGCGCATGGCTGAGTCTTTTTGATTTAAGTATTTTCAAGCCAGTTAGTGGACCATCTAGTTTTCCTTTTC